TTTCTTGCTCAGCTCCACTCTCAGCTCCCTGAGGACCTCGTTCCGCACCTGACCCTTCTCCAGCGGCCCTGCGAATCACAGCACACACACGCACACGCAGCCTTGAGCCGGGGGCCACCCCGCCAGCCAAGCTGGACACGGCAGCGAGAGGCACAGCGGCGGGTCCCCTCACCCAGACTGTCCACGGTCTCGTCGTCCTTCTTCTTCTCCCCGGACTGCGGAGAAAGGAGAGACAGCTGGACTCAGCGCCCTCCCTCACAGCCCCCGAGAGGCTGGCTTCCCCCTGCCCGTGGGAGCAGTGAGGACAGCGCCGCCTGTCTGCGCCTACGAGAGAGGGGCTCTGCGCAGGTGCCGCATTCCCAGCGGCTTCTCCCTACGGATACAGGCCACAGGAATGGACACCCAGCACTGGGAGAGCTCAGAAACTGCAGCAGGGGGGCAGCTGCATCGGAGACTTCCTGATTGCCCAACTGTGCCTGAGATTCTACTGCCTGCGGCACGCACAGCTCCTGTCCCTGCTCCCATCTATCAGCCCCCAGCTGCAGAATAAACACACAGCCGAGAGCTGCTCCGTCTCCTGTCCCTGCTCCCGTCTATCAGCCCCAGGGCACAGGATAAACACACAGCCAGGAGCTGCTCCGTCTCCTGTCCCTGCTCCCATCTATCAGTCCCTAGGTGCAGAATAAACACACAGCCAGGAGCTGCTCTGTCCCCTGTCCCTGCTCCTATCTATCAGCCCCAGGCCACAGGATAAGCACACAGCCAGGAGCTGCTCTGTCCCCTGTCCCTGCTCCTATCTATCAGCCCCAGGCCACAGGATAAGCACACAGCCAGGAGCTGCTCCGTCTCCTGTCCCTGCTCCCGTCTATCAGCCCAGGGCACAGGATAAACACACAGCCAGGAGCTGCTCCTTCTCCTGTCCCTGCTCCCGTCTATCAGCCCCAGGGCACAGGATAAACACACAGCCAGGAGCTGCTCCGTCTCCTGTCCTTCAGCCCCTGGACACAGGATAAACACACAGCCAGG